GCAGGAAGATCTGGGAGAGAATTTATCTGTAAGAGCTGGAGTCTGACAGTCAAGTTTGGAGGGTTGGCTCTACAGCTTACTGTGCTGTGTGGCCTTAGGTAACAAATCTTTGCACTCCTTTCTCCCTCCTACCTTCCCCTTCTCCTTCTTCCTCCCTCTCTTATGCTCTTCCATTTTTCTCGTTTAAAAAAATATTTGATTTTTAGTTTATGTGTATGAGTGTACTGCCTGCAAGTGTGTAAGTGCAGCAATGTCATGCAATGACATCGGAGGCCAGAAGAGGGCGTCTGATACTGTTGAGCCATCTTTCCAGTCCCTTCTATTGCTTTTTTTTTTTTTTTTTTTGAAATAGGGTCTTACTCTGTGGCCCAGGCTAGCCTCAGACTCATGGGAATCCTCTTGCCTTAACCTCTCAACTTCTGGGATTACAAACAAGAACTACCACACCTGGCTAGCCAACTTTCCTAACTTTTCTGAACCTCATTCCTCTCATGTTTAAAATGAACACAATACCAGTGTTTAACACAGCACTTCTCAATTCCTGGACCTGCAGACTATAAATGCAGTTATTACCTTTTTTTAATTTTTTTGGTCTTTTTGAGACAGGGTCTCCCTGTAGCCCCAGCTGTCCTGGAACTCACTATGTAGACCAGGCTGGCCTTGAACTCACAGAGATCCGCCTGCCTTTGCCTCCTGAGTGCTGGGATTAAAGGCATGTGCCACCACGCCTGGCCAGTTATTACCATTTTAATCTCAACATACTGGTGACATATTTAGTGTCCTTACCTTATTAGATGGGCCCAGGCTCATTCCTGTGGCATTATACTCTCACGGGGCAGGGGCTGGTTATACTGCCTTTGTCAATGCTTTTAACATTTCTCTCATTTAACAGTGTCTTGCAGATTGGTAGAGTTAATTCAACAGTCTTTATGAGTACTTGTTTTGAACTGTAGATACTAAGGTGAGGACTTGCCTCCTGTTTTTAAATGAGGGCAGTCTGATAAGAACAGCAACAGACAACTGGAACAGCTCACAAGAGCTGCTCCTGAAGTGTGAACTAAGAGTTGAGGCAGGGAAGTGGTTCATTTGTTTTATCTGAAAGATGGTTGCTGGACAAAGGTGTAATGGGCACATGGCAGCAAACACTGGAAATTCTTCATTGCTGAGAACAGCACAGGCAAGACAGAAAGATGTCAAAGTGTCTGATTTGTTTGGGATGTGGGGGGGTACCGGTCACATTTGGGAAGAAAGAATAGCAGGGATGAGGGGAAAGAGGTGGACTGGGGCCAAAATCTGAAGGACTTGAACCTGCAGTCAACAGGACCACCAGGTTTCTGGAAGTGAGCAAAATGCTCAGACCTGTAGTTTTCAGGGGTGGTCATGATGACCTGGGGCAATGCTTGCATTAGAATACTAAAAGTAAAAAAGCAGGACCCAACATTATGCATATAATACAGCCGTAACAATGAAGGGAAGCATCAACCAACAGAAAGAAGTTGGAAGGAAATGTATAAAAATGGGGTTAGATTCACTATAGAGAATATTGTTATGAGAATATGGTGACTCTCCACGTCTGTGCTTTTGAATCTTGTGAATCTGTTCATGCGTTAAAGAGATTTATAATCCTTTGGGTGAGGAAATGTGGGCTGGTGGAGAGGAGGCGCATGAGGAGAGAAGACAGGAAGTGCAGGAGGAGCTGCTGCACAGCTGCGTGAGTGGGCTGAGGCCTGTGGGTGAAGTGAGCAGGGACAAGGACAGATTTACATGAATCACAGGTGGCACTAGGCAAAGAAATACCATTATAAATACACTCAAAGAACACCCAGCTCATGAGATCACAGAAATCCCACTTACAAAATTAACTTAGTTTTAGTTTAAAATTTATTATTATTCTTTACCTGCCAACAGTTCAGCAAAGATTTAAAGGCAGTTATAATGAGATTGTGGAAAGAGCAGAGATGGCCAATACAGTAGGTTGCCAACTTGTACTGCCTCTCTGGTAATGCTGTTTTGAAATGGGCATGTCCTTTTCTACATTCCACTGAGAAACCACTAAAGGGAGTAAGAGTACAAGGTAAACACCACACACACACACACACACACACACACACACACACAGAGTTCGTTATAGTGCTGTCTATTGAAGTGAAAAATTAGAAGCTATCCAATGTCTATGAAGAGCAGACTGCTTAACTAAGTTACTGTGCACTCAGTGAGATACTAAGCAGTCTTGAAAGAAAAAGCCAGACAGTCTCTAGAAAACTGTTAATGTTGGTTCTTCCTAGGGGGTAGGCATTTTTCTTAAATAATTTATAATAATAGACCTCCACATAATATGGTTATGTTCATATTTGGAGGGGGCGTTGGGAGAAGGGAGGAACACTGACAGGACTCTGGGGACTGAAGAGGACAACAGCTGAGGACACCTGGTCTCAGGCTGGTGTGCCTGAGTGTGTGTCCTGCCATATGGGAGAGCAGAGGTGCTCCCTGATGATGTCAAGGCCTCTTCTGGGTAGGGGCTGTGTAGCTGGCAGGTAGCATAAGGAAATTGAGATTCTTACTAAATTGGAAGTCAGGACAAACCACATACTATTGCTCAAGCCCCACAGATCCTGACGCTGGGGTACTTTTTAATGTTGATGTAGTAACTTGAAGCTAGGGATGAGAGCTGGAGGCAAGTGAAGGACTGACAGGAAGGAGCTTCCAGATGGGGTGCTACTCTCATTTTTCTTTTGGTTTACAGCCAGCCACCAGTATGAAACCCCCTTATTCCTGGCTACATTTGCAGTAACTCCTTTATTTTCCCCGCCTGTAGCTGTGACCAGTGCAGAGGGTGGCACACACAGAAGCGATACAGTTACTGCCACTCCAGCACAACACTTAAGCTCACCTGACCCCCCAGAATCTAAAGAGAAAACACCATCAGCAGAATCAGGTAACTGCTTCTCCTCACCAAATCCAGCACCCCGACAGCCTAGCATTTAAATCACCCTCGCTCAGAGTGCTTGGGGCATTTTTTTAGGAAAGTCAGCTTGAAATGTTGGCAACAGGGATAGAAGGAAGACATGGATTCTAGTTTAAGCTCTGTGACTACTGTGAGCATTGTGGGGGGAGGCAAGATGCCTCACTTCCTTAGTCTCTCTTATCTTCAAAAGGGGCTCAGTAAAAATTACCCTGTATCATAGGTTTGATATGAATACATTGCAAGGTACTGAGGCAAAGGTATATAAAATATTATAAGCTATAAAAAGCTATGCAAATACACATCCTATGAGGCTATAGTTTCTGAGATGTTTGTGGTTGGCTTGCAGTAAAGGCTGAACTTATTTATTGGTTCAGAGAACTTCTGTGGGGTTTTCTGGGGTAGAGCCTAAGGAAAAGTGAGTATTTCCAGCATGGCCACGAGCATCTATATAGCAGATTTATGAAAAGAGCAGAATTATAAAAAGTAAAAGGCAGAAAATAACAGATGGGTGTCTAGGCTGTGGGAGGAGAGCTTGTGTCACTCTAAAGCAGGACTTTGTCTTTTGGGCACTGGTTGGTTGGTGTTAACTGTGGCTGAGCATTCTCCTGCTCAACAGTTTCCCTCTTTTGAAATCTTCCATCACCACACACCATCTGTGGCATCCAATGGGCACTCCTGATTTCCATGAACTTGAAGGTTCAAGTGGCAATTGGTAATGTGCTTCTCAACCAGGAAGCATTTCTTTTGCAGGGCACGACTTTGGAATCTTGAAAGCAGATTTTATCATCTCAACACTGGAGGATCCAAAAGAAATGAAAGACCAACTTTTGGATGAAGTGAGACCCCTGGCTTTTTCTAATTTTTATCCCTTTGGTATCAATAATGCAAAGCACTATTAGCAAAACCAATACATTAAAAGAAAAAACTGGGGGTGAGGAGATGGCTCAGTTGGTAAAGTGTTTGTCATGTAAGCACAAAGACCTGAGTTTGAACCCCAGAACCCATAAAAAAAGGGAGGAATGGAGGTGCATGCTTGTAATCTGGGGAGACAGATACAAGAGGATTCCTGGAGCTCATTGGCCACACAGTCTAGCGCAAGGTCAGTGAGAGATCTTGTCTCAAAAAATAACATGGAGAGTGACTGAGGAAGACAAGACATCTGATGTTGACCTCTGGCTTCCAAATGCATGTGCACATACCTCCTTCATGTGCACACACACACACAAAACACATATACATTACCCACATCCACATGAACAAAGGGGAGAAGGGAGCATGCTTTGGAAAGTGAGCTCATTTTATTCTGTCATCACTACTGCTTACAGTGTCAGATTGGGTATGTGCTGGCATCATTTTAGAACTTTTTCTTACCCTAACATGTTCCCTGAGTTCTTTAAGTCAAGACAGTTGGAAGGATCTGAGCGTAACTCTTGTCTTTGTATTTGTTCTTTGTGTACCCTGGCCAAAAAACTTAAGTCTTTCATAGCCTCAACTTCCTCATGAAATAGGAATGATAATATCTAAGTTACATGTTTGGTATTATGACTGAATGATACATTCCATATACAGTGCTTAGCAAATTGTCTGGCACATAGTTGGTACTCAATTAACATTAGCTATTATCTTTATTATTATTAGCTATTATCATTATTATTACTGTAATTAAACTGATTACTAATACGGCCTGAAGGTACATTTCTTAAAAGTTAGAGAATACCCTTTATCATCTGTCTTAGTTTGTTCTTCATTGCTGTGACAAAATACTCTGACCACTACCAACTTGGGGAGGAAAGAGTTTATTTAGCTTACAACTCCCAGGTCACAGTTCATCAGGGAGCCCAAGGTAGGAACTCAGGGCAGGAACCTGGAGGCAGGAGCTGGAGCACAGGCCATGGAGGAATGCTGTTTACTGGCTTGTTCCCCTGGCCCCTGCTCAGCCTGCTTATGCAACACAGGTCCACCTGCCCAGGGGTGGCACCACCCACAGTGGGCTGGGCCCTCCCACATCACTCATCAAGAAGATGCCCCTCAGACATGGCCACGGGCCAGTCCAATAGAGGCAATTCCCCAATTGTGGCTCCCTCAACCCAGGTGTGTCAAGTTGACACTAAAGCTATCCAGCACATCATCTATCCCAAATCATAACTACAGGTAAGACACACTGGCATTTATCTAGCAGCTTTTTGCACCTTCTTTATAGAGCCACAGAAACAGCATCCAGGCAATCCATTCTAGAATTTCACAAAATCATATTTCTAGAAAGACTGAGTACAAGCTGGTCAAAGTTGGAGAGGGGGAACTGGAGAGCTGAGGCATTTTGCTACTGAAAGAACAAGTACAAACGAAGCATTCAGCAACTGATGAGTTACTCAGCAAAATTTCAAGGACTCAAACTGCAATGTACAAAAGTTAAAGCTCTTTTTTGGAGGCAGGGGAAGACAACTACTGAGCTCTCTATTTCTGTTTATTGTTTATGGTCAGAAGTAGTTTATTTGGTCCTGGCCTGGATCTCTATGTACTTTCTGGGGATGTAATTGAGTTTTGTTTTTTTTTTTTTGGTAATTTTTAGTAACTGAAAATTTTGATACCAAACTAGAAACCATTTGTCTTCTGTTTTAAACTGGAGTCAATGGGAAAATTGGGATTAAATGGGACATTCCATCTCCTACTTAGCTTTGTTACAATGCATCTATTCCACAAATGGTGTGGCCAGGGGCCTTGGGCACCATGAAAAAGAATAAAGCAAGATAAATTTTATGGGATGACCATGCCATAGACTTCCTATCTCACTGATTAAAGGATAGCATTAGTGGAGACAAAATGTTTGGAGGATGGGGCACCTTATTAGTTTTAGCAGCATTTAACATAGATAAAGCGAAGAAATACCTGTAGTTAACTTATCCAAACATCAGGAATGAGGTCAGATAGATGACTGCTACAGACACCTCCACACAGTATGAGAGCTTGATTTGGAGTAAAGGTCTTCTGGGGAGGTGGAATTCAGGAGACACCTATCTCTCTTACACACACAGCTTAAATTCATTGAGTCTGATGCTCAGTCAAGATTGGGTGCCATTGACTTAATATTTTGTGCTATTGATAAGACACAGGCAGGTGGTATTAGGCTGAGAAAAACTGGTTTGGATGGAAATAGAGTATATGCATGGATTATTAGAGCTACCTAAACTATGGGGTCACAAAAATAGCATCAGTAGTTTCTTTTTCTTTTTAGGTTGCTGGGTAGTGCTTGATCCCACTGAACTATATCCTGAGCCCTGTTTCTCTCTTTTTAATATTTCAGATCCAAGAAGTCTTAAAGTTTATTTTAGGTGATGAGCAATTCACGTTGAAATGGGTCAGCTTTGAAGTGAACAAAAAGTAGCAAAACATTATAGGTTGTCGTTTTTTTTTTTTTTTCCAATTCCTAGAGCATAAGATTAGAAAAATCCAGGAGGTAAGGCCTTACAACTAGTACAAAAGAAAACCACACATGAAGCTTGAATCCTTGGATTTCATAGAATGAAATAGGTAAACCAAAGATGGCAAACCTTGAGAATGGCAAACAAGGACACCAACACTCTGACCCAAACAAGAAAAATTCTAAGAACGCACTGTCTGGGGTATAAGAGGACCACAGAGGTTCAGGAAAACTGGAGGAAGCATTCTTTCCAAAGGCATTAACATAATATATACCAATGCTAGCTATGTGCCCTACATCTATTTTCTTTACCTGTGAGCTGTAAAATCATAAGGCAAGTTGTTCCTAATGTTAAAAAGTATCTTCAGAATACTATGCCAGCATACAAATTCTTTCTTGTTTTTCTTCAAGTGTCCTAAGCCCACGATGCATGCTAGAAGATAATAATATTTTAAATACAGCAGCAACTTTAGTCTGAAATGTTTAAAGTTAAAGTTTATTTGTATTTTTTGTAGGAATATCAATAAAAGACCTCAAACGTATCTATATCTGTACATGTACAAGAACCGTCAAAAATTATTCACAGAACAAAAATAAATCTTTTTTTAGAACAAACCCAGGTAATGAAATGCAGATATGGATCTCATATATGGAACAATCTAGGTGCTATGGAAGCACAAAAATATGGCTTTAAAAAGAAAATAAAATCTTGGGTTTTGCTTTTCTAAGGTGAATTTCTCTTTCTTGAAATAAAAATAAATTATTTAGAGCTATCACTGTAAAATAGTCATGTGTGTTAATACACTCTTATTAAGGCCCTGGAGATGAAAAACAAAAATTGGCAGATAAATTCCTCACAGGTGTTATCCATGTAAATATGCTGCTGTCTGCTTAAGCTGACATTAATGGAGCTAAGAGACGTCTAAGCACCAGTCAAAATTTAACCATTACTACTTATTTTAGATCTTCTGCAGGATGGTGGTCATTGAGTTAATTAGCATTTAACTTTTTAGCAAACTGGAAATTGAAATTTTTCCCTTGGAATCTTGGAAATGACACATATGTGCAATTTATACTTAAAATACTTGTACCCCACTCAGATGATGAAGACCCTAAAACACAGTTTTTGTGGAAATGCCACTGTATCAACACTTAAGTCTGGTTTTTAAGTTCCTAAACATTTTTTTCTAGGGAATAAGGAGGGCATTTGATGAAAGAAAAACAAAACAAACTAACCAAACAAAAAACAACTGAGAAGGAAATTAAAATGTCTGCTGAAACATGGGCCCAAAGTACCCCTTTCCTTTCTTTTTGCATTGGCCAAGTCTGGCTGGGCTGTCATATGAACACTGGGAACCTTCTTCTGCAACCTGTGCTCAGATCAACTTTCTTTCTCTGACTCTCCATGCTACCAAGAGTAACATCTAGGGTTCTTAAGACTATGCCAAACCAAATTCAAGTCACTTTAACTTATATATACATATGACACATTTTAGGAGGGGTCAAGGGAAGCAAATCTTCCTGTTTCTTTGAACTTCTGAGCAACCAAGAAGACTATATATTAGTCTGCCTCTGGATTATATGTCTTCCTCAGGCTCTTTCTGAAAGAAAAATAGACTCTGTCGCATGCAAATTTCATCACCTTTGTCTTGTCAAAACTCAGAGCTTTCATAGATTGGCCGGTGACAAGAGCATGCTCTATGAGAACTGACTGCAACCATGCAAACATAAAAAGAGAGTGTACTTAAAAATTTAACATCTCAACATTTCTTGCTTTTAAGAAACTAGTGAAGTTATTTTAAATTAATAATAATAAAAAAAGATATCCCAGGTACAGGGTGGGAAGGCGACTTTTTATTGCTGGTGTAAGCAGATTTCATTACTAGATTTGAAAATGGGAAAGGTATGGAGCAGAAGTCCTTTAGAACTTCCACAATCTGTAGCAGAAAGTGACCGAAAATGCAGCAAAGCTGTGGAATGGGCTCTGGAGCTCTGGGTCTACCAGTAACAAGCCTAGTCTAGGTCAAGCCTGAGGCTCAGCTGGTCTGCTGACTGATGAGACTGAGGTAATCCTGACAAAGGCTGCTTCCCCCAGTTCAGTCCCATAACTGGCCTTTTCAGGGATTATACCTGGAAGGAACCAGAATTATCTGGTTGGAAGCAAAAGAAATACTAATGCAAACTCACTTGATGGCAAGCATTTTTCTCTGGGGCTTCCAAACAAAAATTCTGATCTCAAGCTGCTGTACCTCTGAGGACACAATGAGAGCCAGGGAAAACTGCTGGTCCATAAAAAAAACAAAGCAGAGTAAAATCTGAAAAGTTTTACTTCTAAAATCAAGCTCAGCCCCAAGGGCATATGTTTCATGCTTACACCACTCAGAAACTTACTTTTTCTTTACTGTCCAACCCCATCATAGAGGACAGAAGCAGATCAGTCAGAACACTGATTCTGACCAACCTGATGGTAAGTGAAAAGGGAAGAGGTGGAGGCCAGCCTGGTCTACACGGTGCATTCCAGGCCAGCTGGGGCTACAGGGAGACCTTGTCTCAGAGGAGGAGGAGGAGGAGGAGGAGGAGGAGGAGGAGCTGCTATAGCAATATAATAACCTCATCTGCCACACTGCCATTAGTAGAAGACTTCCCAGACCCAAACAGCACAGAGGTGATGGACACTGTGGAAATAATGCCGGCCTCATGGAAATGGAATGTTTTGCTGCTTTGGTCTGGAAAGCTTATTACTCCAGTGATGCAAAAGGGAGTGCCTTTCGTGAAGGCTAGTAACATTGTTCTTGTTAGTGGCCAAGTCTGGTGCTACCTAGATATGAACTTTACAAGCATTTCACCCCAATTCCAAAGTCCATTCAACCCTGGTCTATTCTCCCCGATGACGTAGTGATATGTTGAAGGAAATAGGTTTGCAAGACACAGCTACCTAAATCCATCAGTTTTCTTTCAATCAGGCATGCATTTCCTCGTAGCGAAATAAAAGTATGTACCTATTCTGACTGAAGAAACACCATGTAAAATTATGACCTGCTGCTGCTGCTGTCTTCTTCTATCCCTAAAACCCTTTTCAAAATAAACTCTATAGATTGCAACATTCTCTAAAGAAATATTCAGAAAACTACTTTGTTATAGTTTTTGCTCTGAGATAGGGCCTTCTGTACCTCAGTTTGGCCAGCAACTGGCATAAGATGACCTTAAACTCCCGATCCTCTTGCTTCTGCCTCCAGAGTGCTGGGATTACAGGCCTGTGTATCACCAACCCAGTTTACCTGGTACTGGGTTGACAATTTGCCAACTGAGCTACATCCCTAGCTTAGAAAAATATTTTTGATAGCCTAAAAAGATGAGAAGGGTCAAAGGACAATCTAAAATTTAACATCTGGCAACAACTCTGAACTTTCATTCTCTAATCCTCTTATTGTTTTTTTACTTTTTTCTCTTTATTCAACAAAACCTGATAGTAGAGGGCCTTGAAGTTGTCCAAATGTTTTGGACATTTAATCTTGCAATGTCATCAACAGGCCCTCTAAGAAGGACCTAGAATGTTAACAAGATATATTGCATCCATCAATATACTTATCTGATAAACTCTCTATAATCTATAACCAGCACTTGAAAAGCTTTCAAACCTCAATTCAAGATGTCACCCACATTATATACTTAAGGTCACTGAAACTACTCTTTTACTAGGTTTCCTGTGGTACTACTGAAGGGTTTTGAATGACTTAAACATTGCTAGAGCTGAGACTAAGCCACAAACAAGAAAAGATCTACATTTACATCCAGTCTCACCCAGCACAGAGTATTACTTCAGAATCTGTAACCCTTGTTTCCTATGAAGTGATTTTAATCACAGTGTGCCCTCAGTTTGGAGGGCAGAAATAAAAAATTATAAAATAACTGTTAAGGGTCAAGAAAATACCTATGTGCCATAATAGGACATGAAGCCTACAGTCCTAAGCTCAACAAGAAGCTCCTGTTTTAGGTCTCTGACACAGAGGAATTATGAATAAAATTATTTTCAGAATAAAATTATTATTGTGGATTGGGGGCTCTGGTGAAGTTACTGAGGCAACACAAAGATCAACCTTAGGGGGTAGAGAGCAAGAGTTGGGATGCAAGCCTGGGACTTGGTGGAAAGAGGGGCTTGGTGTCTATGCCTGGGCTTCAAACAAAAGAGGGTGCAATACAAGTTCTCGTTTCCTTATAAATATTCTGTTATATAGAAACACTCCATACATATGGTTCCTGTAGGTCTTTCTTCTTGTCTTTAACTTAAAAAATTCTTAAAGTTTATAATTTAAAGTAAACATTAAAGTATTTGAGAAACATCACTTTCTCAATGTAAAGCTGCTTAGATCTTCCTTAAAAATATTCAAAACCCTTTTAACATTATCTTTGTATATCCGACAGCATAGAAGGCATCAATGTTTTCTATTTGTGCATTATATGTACATATGTGAGGATATATGGTATATATGTTTATATAATGTCTATTTAACATGTAGCAAACTTTCCTTCCTCTGGTAATCAAGGCTGCATTCCAGATGACATATCACACTCTGGAGTGAAAAAGGAAGCATTCTTTTTTGTCTTATACTAAAGTCTTTGATCATAAACTAGGTCATTATTACCAAATCTACCAAGAGTGTGGAATAACAACAGGAATGTGCCATCTTCATACTTTTGGTTCTCTCTATATAGCAAGATTAATAGTCATTTTTAAAGAGTGATGCTTCCGTTTTAGATTTCCTTTCATGGAGGGGATTAAAAGAAAGAAGCAGCAATTTAAAAGTTAAAAACAGTGATAAAATTACCTTGCCCATAGATTTGCTAGTACAGCGGATAAAATAAATCTTCATTCCAAGCAAAAAATAGAAACAACAAATGAGGAAGAAATATTTTAGTAGGATTCAGAGATTCCTGCTCTGTTGTAGTTAGCCCTTTTCTGTGTGGAAGAAAGGGTATCTATTTCAGATGGCTTGGTATACTTGAATAACCTCCCCAGCGGAGAGTAAATCCTGTTGGTGCTGATTGCTCTCAGCATGGGGAGGAAAGGGCAGTAGACATGTGAAGATGAAGATGGTATACAAAGACACAAATATTTATAGTTCTGTCAACTCTAAAGAGAAAAAAGAATACCCTTTATTACAATAGGAATAAAAATCAGAAAGTCCCATATCTAAAACAGAAAATTCTCATCTGTTGCAGAGAGAGGGAAAAAACATACTGACAGGAGTTCAACAGAAGTCACTCCTAAAGTCCAGTTTTGATACAATCAACCACTTTTTATCTGTGTTCTCTGAAATGCTGACTCTCCAAATCAGATCAGCTGTCTGCCAGAACCATCTTGGCCTATCAGTGGCATAATTATTGTTTTGTACAGATTGTGGTATTCGCATGTTCCTAAAAGGGGACCAGGATTTGGTTTTTAACTGGCAGACGAATCCCTGAAAAAAATTTCATTCTGACAATGTCCTATTGCACTCTAAGTGCTTCTAGCTGACAGGTACTTGGTCTCTGCCTACTGAACCAACAGGCTCACTTCTCACTCATACTTGGCTCCTACTTTTCCTCTAACAACTGCAGTGCTTTCAACAAGAGGAAAACAATAATAAAAATAGCAATAATTAAAAAGGTAATCTACATTATTAACTTCCTTTTGGTATATTACAACGGTATTTTCTGTACATGGCCCAGAACTAAGTTCCCTATGTACATAGAGACATTGGGGGGAAAGCATAGACTCTGGAAGTCTTTGCCTTATGCCCTGAAAGAACAAGGTTCCTTTCTTCATTTACGAGTTTCTCACCACATTGCCATTTTGAAGCAATATTCTGTAAACCTGGAGGGGTAAAGGGCTGGGGATAGGAGAGCTGGGCAATTTCCTTCTGTCTCCTTCCACAGCTTGTATTCACAAAGGCCATCAACAGCTGCTGTTTTTGAATTCACCATTCTCCGTGATGGAAAGCTTGGTGGGGTTGGTGGGGGAGATGCCATTGCGGACCTGCATGCTGTACCGCTCCTTCACTTGCGTCAGAGCACTCATCAGTCTTGTGTTGGCCAAATCCAGAGACACGATCCGCTTTTCCTACAACATACCAACCATGGTTTTATTCAGGCTACATGGAGGAAGCCACTCCCTTTCTTTCTCCCATCAAATGACTCGTCCAATACTTTCTCTCACATAGAAGTACACATGGTGCTTCCCAAACAAATGGAACGTCTCTGCCTCTTTCTGCACATTGGTTAGGTTCAGCTTCCCCTCGTTTTTTTTTTCTTTTGTCTCCTCTATTATCTCTCTTTTTTTCCTTTCAGCAAAACAGGACTTATTATTAATATTTTGGGGCATTCATTATTAGGCGGTCTTGTAAAAATGATACCATAGGTAAAGTTGCCCTATATAGTAAGTGCTTTTGGTCAATACTAAAACATGGAAATTCGGTGGCAAAGAAAGAAGCACCAGAGGTTTCATTTTACAGAAGAGAAGTGCACATGATCCATGAGTTCCTACACCCCAAAGAGGGCATAACAGTCACATCTGGAAAGAATTCACATTGTGCTCAAAATTAAAACAATACACGGTGGCAGTTTAGAGTCACCAACAAGGTGAGGATGCGAGAGCAAGAGGAGATAAGAGCAGCCAGAAGCTTAGACCAAGGAGTTGTTTGAATATGGGGAGGGAGATGTGGCCGAAAGAGATGCTATAAACATAACACATGAGAACAGACAGAGAACACAGTCTCCTAGACCCATTCCAGCTCAGTTACTCCAGGAAAGCTGCCCAATAAGGGGATGCTTTCATTTTGCTCTTCAGTCTTAAAACAAAATAAAGCTTTAGAGACAATATTTTAGAATTAAGGGCTGTTGAATATTCACATACCCACCAAAAAATGCAAAAGGAAGGCAAAAAAAAAAAAAAAGTACAGTAGGACAAAACATTATTCTTACAGAACTTAGGAGAGACCTTCATCACTGCTTTAGCAGCAAGGTAAATCATCCCAGGACCTTTCCAACATGAAGTTCATATTTCTCAGAAAATAAAGACAAAGACAGTCTTGACCTATGTTCATTAATTGAAAGAAACAGCCTATGAGGATCAACACTGATGCCAAACAAAGCTTTCCTTCCTAAGAGTCTTTGAATTTACCTAGGGAGAAGCATGGTGAGATTTAGTTAAGGTAAGGTTCACAGCCAGGTAGGAGGACTGAAGGCTGTTGCTACTTCTTACTATGAAAGCAGAAGCGACACAAGGCTACCAACCCAGCACTGGCCCGTTGGAATGCATGCTACAGGAATAATGGCCAGGGCAAGTAGAAAAAATATGGGTACAGCTACAGACAACTACAGCATCAAGCAATACCTTCTTTTATCTCTCACTTTGCTGAGTGTAGGGACTTATCTGAATGGCAACAGAGATGGTGGCTACAGTTTCAAATGTGTGAAAAACAAAAACAAAAACTCCTGCTTATTCCTTAAAAATTCCTTTTCTCTGGTGGTAAGATAGAAAAATTACTATTATTATCTATAGGTTAAAAATGTTTGAATGAATAACTTGTTTTAAGGATAGGAAAAATTCAAAGAAAGAGCTGTGAGGCTTTAAAAAATAATTATCTAAAAAAAATTATAGCCAGTGGAATTTAGTGGGAAAACACGTATAGGTTTTTTCAAAGCCAATAGGTAAAGACTGGCCCTGCTTCATGGAGAGAAATGACTCTTAAACAGAATAAATGGTACTTTAAAAAACTTTAAATAATCAGGCTATATAGGGAGACCCTATCTCAAACATTAAAATACTTATTTGGTTTTCTTAATCAGTATAATTTTTCTTGTGTGTTTCATATTAAGTAAAATACCATACTATAACTGCTTATTTCTTGAAATGAATACACAAGGAAAGACATCTCAGTACTGGGATAAATTATAAGGTCCCAATACTAAGGAAAAATAGGGTTCTCCAGGGTTTGTTAAACCGCCAAACCAAAATAAAACAAAACACCCCCAAAACAACAACAAAAAATTGATTCTTAAAGGGTCAAAAAGAAGGCCAAGGAGGATGTTAATTATGTATTGCCTGCATAGGTAATAAAGGTAATAACTGATTCCGAGCAACTTCCCCTACTAGACAGCTGAAGGCTTCCAAGCCAAGAAACTCCCTTTGTAGTTTCCCCATTGTTAACCTCTCAAAATAAGACAGAAAGTAAAAGAAGTAAAATCAAATAGGACCCTTCGAAAGTTAAGTTCAGTTGGCAAAAGTTTCTCTGACATGTTGACTCTGCCTGGACTGGAAAGCAAAGCAATCTAACACACCTGACAGGAAGGACTTAACACTGGAGCACCAGGAGCTGGAATGTGTAGGAGGCCAGTGCACTGGCCAGGGCTGGGAACTGCTCAGCTAGAGAACGGATAGGGTTTACTTGCCTGTTTGAATAATCTCATTTCCATTTATGACCTGTAATTTAACACAGCGGAGATATCACTTGCAATAGTAACTAGGCAGCTGCTTTGTTTCTCATAGGAGAAAGTCCCTCTCTGTTCTCCATCTAGTCACATGGAGAGATCCTGGAGTCACAAGGCCTCATGATTGGGGGTTAAAGGTGGTACATTTCCTGTCTTATTTTTTTTTTTTTTTAAAAAGATTTCTTGGTACCATCATTTTGATCCCCATGTCTGAGCTATAAGATCCAGGATTGGTGATTTGGGCACTCATCCCTTTGCAGTTCTGTAAAGAAAATGGTTGAGGCCAGCCTGTGTTTTGCAGAATGAACTGACTCAAGGAGAGAGGGAGTTTGAATTCATAGACAAGGATCATAGGGCTGCTGAGAGATGAAAACCATTCATGAGCACTTGGGTGTTAGTGTTCTGAGAAGTGCTAAGATTAATTCTAGTGCACAGAAAACAATTGTTATTATTTCAGAAATAATTTTTACTATTAGTGACACTAAGACACATGTTGGGGATATAAAATTATGGGTTTACCTCTTAGGGAAACTATTATTCCCAAACATGTCTTCATTCAAGCAACAAAGTCAGAATGGATGCTCTGTTCCAATGAATACTTAAGACGTAAGATTGGTTCTTACAGAAAAAAGGATCTGATACAAAGTCATTCATTACAAAGGACACACAAGGATGTACAGTCTTTGGCTATAACAAGATTCTAATGTATTAGTAAGCCTATAGCTTCCCTTTTAGGACATTCTATATGTATGTATGTATGTATCTATCTATCTATCTATCTATCTATCTATCTATCTATCTATCATCTATCTATCTTATTTATTTTGTTTATTTATTTATTTATTTTTATTTATTTACTTACTTACTTACTTACTTATTTGACAGGGTCTCACTATGTAGACCAGGCTGGCCTTGAACTCACAGAGATCCACCTGCCTCAGTCTCCCAAATGCTGAAATTTAGGGTGTGTGCCAATATTCTGGCCCTGTCTTTGGTGTTTATGATTTGTGCTGTGCACAATTCAGCAATTTTCAAAATGTGGTCTAGTAGATTGTCTGAGTATTCCTTAGAGATTCATAGTAAGTCTTGTAAAATAAATATTATATAGTAAGGTCTATGTTTTAGTAAATAACATACCACATTTAACCAATCTCACCATGTTCTGACCCATTAGTTGAGAGCAGTCAATGGGAGCAGCTGGATGTTGGTCTAAGGAAGGTGCTTTGGCACCATCAAAATAATCCAGAGAGTCAAGCCACTTGAAAACCACTGTCTTGAGGCACAGACCCAAAGTATTAATTGCTTTGACAGAATGTAGATCTGACCAACTGAACTTTGAGGATACTATTTCTCCCATGTCTGAACAGTGACACCGTCCAGGTTAAAACTGAGTGCTTTTGACTCCTGGTAAATTGGATTCATTCCCTGGATTCCACCATTAGTGACTATGACTTCTGCTTCATACCAAAGTCAAAATTGGGGGCAAGTACAGTATAAACCTTCTAGAAATCTAGTGATAGGGTTGTCCTGTTAGCCAGCAAAGGCATGACTATGACACAGGAAAGCTCCTCTTGCTTAGGACTGACTGGATTAGATTGGCTGAAATCACTAAAAAGTATATTTTATCTCAGCACTAAAATTTCTCCTGGTGTGGTTATTAATAAAGCTTTCTCTGCTTTATATTAAGAATCCAAAAGTGAAACCTTTTTACCCATAATTTTTCTGATTAAATTGCCTTCTTTATCCAGGTTGTTTCTCTATCCAGGTTGTTTCTCTTACAGGTATGGAGTGATGCATTTATTTTTTAATAGGATGACATAATGAGCTGGCCTTGTTTCCACTGCTCTTTCCTCACTCACCTTGGGGACACAGAGAAAGAACTTTTTATTTTGTCTTTTTGAGACAGGGCCTCCCTGTAGCCCCAGCTGGCCTGGAGCTCGCTATGTAGATCAGGCTGGCCTTGAACTCACAGAGATCCGCCTGCCTC